TTGGGTTAACATAGTGTCCAAAAAATTGTGAAAAATGGGAGAACCATTTTGTAAGACACAAAGCAACCCTGTGGTCGCACCCTGGTTTTTTTTGGGCGACCAATTTGTAAACAGTTTACTCTGAATGAAATTTCTTCTTAAAATCTCTCAAGCAATCCTTGCATATCTCTGTCAATTTTTGCATCTTGTGCATCTGGCAATCGGGTTTCATAAAGTATCGTCCAACAGAAGTAGTCAGATAGACTGGACCGAAGTAGTGGTCATCGTTTTTTTTTCTGGACCGGGGCTGGTTTCAAAATTTTGGAGGCTTTGAAAACTTTGCGATCATCTCCACCACAAAATCCACATGGTCGGTTAATATTTTTTTGTGTTCAAATATATTTACATTTGTGGATGCATTTATCAACTCCCCTTACCCATCTACAAAATGGTATTCCAAATCTTCTACAAAATGGAGGTGCCTGACACTGGCATATGATCTTGTTCTCATATAAAGTGATGTTGGGTGTGTATAAACAGGTCTCTTTCTACAAAATGGAGTGCCCCGACGGAAAAAACAAAACATAAAATCTGATTTATAGGGGGCCCAAGGCCTACCATTTTAAATGGGAAATGTCAACGGGGATTGTAATATTTCAAAGTAAAAACATGTTTCTGTAGCATTTGGATATATTCTGCTGTTTTTTTATATTATCCCATTAAATAGATGTTTATCCCATTATTATCCCATGATTATCCCATTAACAAACCATCCCCTTTCCGTCGCGAGGATCCTGGCCTTTTGGCGAAAGGTTTCGAAGTGGCGAGTCGCGTCTAGGAGCTGAAGTTGCCTTTGGATCTTTGGCATCCTTGCTATCGCCTTCCCAGGGTTCGAAGCTGGTTCATGGGGATTGCCATGATGGATCATGAATGTCGTCATATGTATATATATATATATACACACATATGTGAATATAATAGATTATAATAGTACATTGTAATCCCCAATATATAGTATACAGTAAATGTTAATATGTATATATACTATAAAACAGTATGAATTATATATAACATATATATATATGGTAGTATAACACAATATAAATATAAACACGTGTACGATCGCCCAACTATCATCCGCCTACACCAACCCGCCCTGCAGATCTTGCTCGTCTCACAGCTTGCAGCTCCTGGTGGATCTTTCTTGGAAGAATTGGTAAGTTGGAACCGTATCCCATGATGATAAGAAAAGGCCAGCAAAGGCGCCCTTTTGTCAAAGAAAATCAGGAACTTTTTTGTGCTTCTCATATCCTTCACAACATCGACTTTGACAACCCGAACATGACCCAGCAAATTGTGCAGCTAGGGAAGCATTCAAATTTCCACACCTCTGCTGCATCCCTGCTTGAAGCGGCCCCTGCGGCTTCAATCCAAAGTTACGACACATTGTTCAACTGATAAGCAATCCTACTGCAAGGTGTGAAAATTATTCACATCAAACAAGGACCTCCTGCTGGTCCATTCCTGGCAGTGCTAGATGCAAGGTGCATCTACCGCGTGACATAACTTAAACATGGTGTGATGCACACTTTGATTGACAGTCAGCCCTCAGAGTAGCATGCACACAAAGCACACATCAGGAACTACATCTTCATTGCCCAGACAAACCATCGTGTGCCAAAAAGAAGTTATAATAAAGTTTTCGTCAGAAGAGAACATGATTAAAATATCATAGAAATACATGACTAGAACATAAATGAGTAGAACAAACCAAACCCTGGAAAATGATAGAACGTGTCCATTGAGTCCATTGCAAACAAAACATACAGACTCGCTTGCCCCCACAGAGTTGTAAGGTTGCCACAAAGTCGATGAAGATGCAGGGGATGCCACCAATGGTCGACCTCTGCCATTTGTGGAATTCATCGAGCTGGCAATGGGATAAAGCTCCAGTTATCGGGATGGTTTTCACACCCCATTTCCAAGTGAAATCGGGGATGGTATTGGGATAGTTGATGAGTCCTTGGGTTACTGCATTGCTTCGAAAATTGAACCCGAAAGGCACAGAATTGATCGACAACAATGTCGAATGATTGCAGCTCAGTCAGCATGGTAGAAACCAAAAAGCTTCAGCACCGCCACACTGTTTCAGTGATGTGGATCCTTCTTTTCGCAACTCCCATCGGTTTAATTTCCAAGCTTGGAGCGTTTGCCCTGGCAAACCGGCACACCAGGGGCAATCACAAAGCCATACAAAGCCTAGCTACACAGCATCCCTGGGGAGCCGCGACCACAACGTGCTTCTCTCCCACGACCGGAAAAACATGCTACCGCCACTGTCGAGTCCAATGGCGCATTGTTATACAATATTATTGTGACGAGTTTCTGGCGTTAAAGTGAGACCAAACCAACTGCGCACGCTGTCTCCGCCGCTGAGTGACTGTCTATGCATCATTTACATAATTTACATGTGAATCATGGAACTCCCAACATCTTCTCAACTGATTCGCTCAGGAGCGACTAAATTGTGATATTCTGATGACATTTTGTGTCGGTGGTCGGTCATCAGCTCCATTGATCTCCATTGCACAACGGACTGTAAACACGAACTGCTTCATCTGCTTCCACTTTGCTGGAGAGAATTCAAGTTAAATAAAGTATCTGGATATCTTCTTATTTCTTATTAGTTCGGTTGCATCAAACATACTCAAACTTCATCAAACTAAAATGTGCCCTGCTGGCGGTGCAGGGTTCATCTCATTGCTGGAAGCCGAGGTTGAAAATAGAAAGACCTAGCTGTTGCAGCAGCTGATGCATCATGAAGTTATGTGAACAATGAATCATAATATATCAGCTCTTTGTTTATAGAATAGGTATCATAATATATCATAATTATATACAATCCTCATGAATCCTCACATCCTTGGCTTCTGCTGTTCTCTTCAGTCGTGTTGTGTCACACTGAAATGGCCTCATCGAAGTATGGCTGGAACGCCCGCGATGTCTGGTGACCATAAATAAGGTGTTTTGCCTTCAAAGATCAGGAAACGCAGCAGGGAAGGATTAATTCATATCTAAAAAAATCTAAAAATAATATGAATTACAGATGGTTCAATCATGATCAATCAGTTTCCAGTACTAATCACAAGTAACAAGTATGTTTCAAGTCAATTTCAAGCCTTCTTCTCGTGCCCCCGTTTTTGTTTGCCCCTGGCCTCATCAGCCACGGATTGGAAATTCCTTCTGTTCTGCCTTGCCTGGAGCTGCACAATGCTAAGCATGGTTGGCCAAGATTTTTCAGTTTTGAGATATGACAAAGGTATACCATGACACAGAATGACACATAATGACAAATGCACATGTTATCACGCGTTGCTGGGTTTATTACTGGGCTGAACGAGCGCGAAACAGGTGCACGCATGTCAATATCTCTTGCCCTAAACGCACCTTGACAGTTCACATACCATGCACGAGACGCTCAAAATCGAACAATTGAGACAAATCCATCCATTTCCCCAGTAGCAGGTGCCTGCTCAACAAAGAAATTTGCGAAGAACTGCGTGACGGAAATTGCCTGGAAACAAAGCAGGGACAGCCCCGTAAAAACCTCCGTAAACGAACTGCCAACATCACCGTTGGCCTCTGGAGTGTGCTTTGCCAGCGCTGCGGGTTGTCCGTCCGGAAGAAAGCCTTGACGGGAACTAGCTGCGCATCATGAACGCCCCAGGCTTTGGGACATATGATTTATTATGTCTACATCATATGATCTATCTGTATATATACATACGGTAACTACATTTAAATATACGGATTTTTAAATATACGAACAGGTATTTTAGACTACCTCCAGGAAGGTTTTCCTTGGCCCGCCCAGCCATTTAAACATACGGAATCCAATTCATTTAAACATACTGCAACTACATTTAAATATACGAACTGGTATTTCATACTACCTCCGGGGCCTCGCGGTCTGGCCCGCCCTCCACATATTTAAATGTTGTTACCGTATAAATAAATAAATAAATAAATATATATATATAATGCCTCAATGCGTTTCGGTCAACTAAGCTCCTCTCCATGCTCAAAAGCGTTCTTTTCAGGATGAAACTGCACCCCGAACCTGGGGACGAAGCGTTGAGGCATTGGACTCAGGTGTCCGGAAAAGATCCTTTGACATGTAAAAGATTGCTGAGGTTCCATCCAGGGTAAGCCGTCCACACCCTCAATGGCACTAACAAACTCCTTGCTCAGTCAAAGAAAGGCTTAAGATGGCTTAAGCACGTTCAACCGTGCCTTTGCTCATGCCAAGTGCTCTATGTTGCTCTATGTTCATCTTTCATCATCTTTCCCTCTGCTATGCCCTGCTGCAGTTTGCAAGTCCTTGCCATCTTCGTCAAGACTCGTTGCAAGTACCTATCTTCAGAGAGGACTCAAACGCCTTGTCTACTGAACTCCACGTGCCAGCTTCTGACACCAGACTTTTGGCTCCTGCCTTCAGAGTCGTTCTTAGCTCAGGGCGCTTGCTCCATTCAACCTTAATGATTTCGAAACCAGTGCAAATTCTAGTTCTGAAATGTCAATGTTCTGAAGGCTTTCAACAGTGAGGGTGTCATCCGAACAAGCTTTCATGATCGCAGTCGTTGCAAGCACTAGATAAGCAAAACATCAAAACAAAGTGCTCGATAGATAGTGTTCATGAACCACGATTAAGTACTCTTCTTATGATCTCTGATGTCTGAGCTGCTTTTTCAAGCATATCGGGTCCGTCCGGCAAGAGATAACTTCTTCTCAGCCATTGTAGCAGAGATATCATAAGAGATGTCTGCTGCAGCGCCGGCTTGGGAAACGGCTTCCTCAATCTTCTGCATGGTGCCAGCAGAGATGCGTGACAAACACGCAATGGCGCCAACATTGTCCTCAATCTGGGACGGCCGTGAAGCCCCAATGATGGCGGTACTGACGTGTTGATTAAACAATACCCATGCCAATGCCAGCTGTGGCAAAGAACATCCATTAGCCTTGGCAATTGGTCGAAGTGCATCGGCTGCGGTGATCTGCCTCTCCTGCTTGGCCAAACCGGTTTTACGGGTCACCAGAGCTGCTCGGCTGTCAGCAGGCACTCCATTGCTATATCGCCCAGCCAGAATACCTTCAGCCAATGGAGAATACACCGTCAAACCCAAGCCATAATGCCCAAAAAGTGACTCGTATTCCCTTTCGACGCGATCACGATTGAAGAGGTTGTACAAGGGTTGTTCCATCAGCGGCCCTTGCAATCCCAACTGTGTTGCCACTGCATGAGCACGAGTGATCTGTTCAGCTGACCACTCGCTAGTGCCCCAGTAGAATGCCCACCCTTGGTCCAAAATTGTCTCCAAATGCTAAGGAATGCAAAAGGGGCTTGAAACAAGAGTAGCATGGATGGCCCAAAACAAACAGTTTTGAATCAAAGCAGGTACGAAAAACAATAATGCATAAACATGCATAGACATAGAAGATCATAGACTATTATATATAAATATTATAGAATCAAAGTCTAGAACCAACAGGTGAATTGCATACTTAGTGGCAATTTGGGTTAAAATAAACACTTCTCACTTTAGCCCCACCTCGGTCTATCAAATGATTCATGGCTCGAACGGTCTCCTCCATGGGTGTTGTGGCATCTGGCCTATGGCAGAAGACCAAATCCACATATGCCAAGCGCATCCGTTGCAGGGCGCCCTGCATCCCCTCCACCAAATGTTTCCGGGAAAGTCCTCGGTCATTCACCCCGTTGCCACCATCAAAGAGCTTGGTGGAGATCACCAGGTCGCTCCGAAGCACATCCCCTGACTCGAAGAGATGTTCCAAGGCCTGATTTTGAAGGCAGGGATTCTACCGGAGAGCCTGATGGATTGATATCAGACATCTGAGGATAATGTTAAGACTGTTAAGATTTGTTCCTCTATTTTCAAGGATCATAGTTTGAGGTTATTAAATCTAAGGAAATACTACAAGAACAAAGGATCTGTCCCATGGGAACCGCCCCATCCAGCAATCGTTTGTGCATTCTCGTGGCTTGACGTTAGGAAAAGTTTGCAAGTTTAGGAGCACCCCTACACTGAGTGTGATGTGCCTGCCCCATAATAGATTCAGACTCTCCAGGAAATGCACCATAGACTTCAGCATTGTCGATGAAGTTGATGCCAGACCGGATGGCAGTTCTCAGAATTTCTACCTTGGTTTCAATCACTATATCTGGTCAATAATCTGCCTGCATGTCGTCTGTGTTGGCTGGAAGCGAGTGAACTGTGAGCTTTTCAATGGGCATTCTAGTTTTTGTTGCTGATAATCCCCCAATACATTGGGAAGTACAACCTACAACCCTCGACAATCATCCGAGGTTTTGAACTCTGCTCAATTTCACTGCTGCCAAGGAGCATGCTTCTCGAGGTTCACCTCAAGAGTCGGCACTCAATTTTGTAAATTCAACATGATTTTGCAGATGTTGCAGCTCTAACTTCCCAAAACGCATTGATCTGTGATCTTGGATTCACAGAAGAAACAAAACATAGTTTTTCAATGTTTTTCATGACATTTTGGTTTTGAATTATAATAAATTAAACAAAAACTCCACCTTGTGATATCCATCTAGTTCAATATGGTTCAATCAAATATAATCAAATCAAATCAAATCAATCTGCTCATTGTATATCTGACATATCTGAGTACTACTAGTACATATATTCAATCCACCAGCTCCATCGCCCCCCGAAACAGACGCGCTGAACCCAGTTTGGACCCAAGGTGCAGCTCCGGTCTCCGACACGGTCAACCAGGCCCCGTAAGAGATGGCCGACACACGAAGTCCGGATCTGCCCAACGGTCCTGGGGCCAGCGACCCATGGGCCACCCATGGGCGACCCATGGATGTTACAGCAACCAAATGGATATGGGGATGGGTCAAAGCTTATGAAATTACCATACGTATGACTAGGGCCTGACTAGGGGAATAAACATCCATTCACCAGCTATTTTAGGGTAGGGAACCAAGGTTTTGACTCATAGCCTCATAGCCATGGTTTCCAGCTACAACTGACAGGGGATGAATGGTTTCTAACGATTGCGAGCAGGATCTGCATCAAAATTCGATGACATAGTACTTGTTCCCAAGAATGGCAAATCAAAATTGACCAAACTCTATGGGGAAATCCCCGAGCCCCGAATCGCCTGATTGTTTGACCCATGCTGAAACCCATAGTCTGCATGAATTTGCCCTATATCGATGTTAGCAGCTGGATGAGTCAACGAATTTGGCCAAAGAGGCGGTAAATCATGGGCGAAGCATCCTTGGTTCTAACGGCATCCGGAGCTGCTCTTTGAAGATCGGCGTGTTTCATTCGGCTAGCTTTGACAAAACATGACGTAAACATACGTAAACCGTAATATGCATGTATAATCATTTGTATTTCAAATAGAACCCGCACCGGGCAGTCTGCGGAAGTTTCCAGCAGCAAGGAATGTTGCACTATAGGACTGAAGGAAAAGCCTAAAGTTTAAAGGAGCTGGAGTGAAACCTCACATCTTCTGAACTCTGTTCTGCGAATTCGTCCTCATCTTGTTTCAATTTTTCGAATAACTGTGGCCACCACTTCTCAGCTCTTCGCAACTCTTCTCAGTTGGTATCAGTTCTTCTCACAGCTCCTCTCAGCTATTCTTAACGATTCTGACCTCTGCGCACATCTTCTCAGCTCGTCTCAACTGTTCTCAATCTTTTTCATCTCTACCAACCTCTTCTCACCTCTTCTACTTCTCACCCCTTCTTAACTCTTGTCAAATGGCTGAACTCTTGTCACCTCAGCGTGATCAGCACAGCCAAACTGCTGAAGACCTGACAGTCAAATCACATTTAAACGTGCCGTTCAAACATGCCAGCACCCAGCGTGCGCAGCACAGCTACACCGCTGAAGACCTGACAGCCAAATCACATGTAAGCATGCCTCGAAAAAAACATGCCGTTCAAACATGGCAGCCCTCAGCGAAGCTTTCACAGAGAGATTCTACGCAGAGAAGGCTTTACACAGAGAAGCTTTCACACAGAAACTTTCAAGCAGAGAATCAAGCAGAGAATCTGTTACACAGAGAAGATTCTGCAAAGAAGGTTTTACACAGACCAAGCTTCTACACAGAAAACTTTTTACACAGAGAAACTTTTGCACAAAGAATCTTTCACACAGAGAAACTTTTACACAATCATATAAGCTTTTACACTGTACACATTGCAGACTTTTCCGCAGAGAAGCTTTCACAGACAGCAAACTTGTGCACACAGAGCAACTTTTTACACGGGGAAACTTTTACACAGGGATCGCTCTTACACAGAGAAGCTTTTACACAGGGAAACTTTTACACAGAGATCGCTCTTACACAGAGAAGCTTTTGCACAGGGAAACTTTTACACAGAGATCGCTCTTACACAGGGATCGCGTTGACACAGAGAAGTTTTTACACAAAGAAACTTTTACACCGAGAAGCTTTTACACAAAGAAGTTTTTTGCACAGAGACGCTTTGACGCAAAGAAGCTTTTACACAGAAGCTTTTACACTGAGAAGCTTTTACACAGAGAAGCTTTTGCACAGAGAAGCTTTTGCAGAGAGAAGCTTTCGCGTACATAGTGGCAGCAGAAATTGCAGGTCCAAAATCAGATCTCGCATGCCAACTTCAGGAACATGCCAGCTGGACTCAATGATCTTTGAGCTACTCCTCTACTTCAGGAACATGCCAAGTGAAATTAATGATCTTTGATCTACTTCTGGACTTCAGGAACATGCCACTGGAATCAACTGGACTTAATTCATGATCTTTCATCTACTTCTCCACTTCAGGCAAATGCCAACTGGACTTTAATGATCTTAATGATATTGAAAAACCATCCGTAGCTCGGAGTTTCTATACGAAACTTCCTTTGAATAGAATATATACATGCATGTTCATAAAATACATATACATATATATATGTATATGTATATGTATATGTATATGTGTAAATAAATAAATATATATATATAATACACACATTGTATATACACATATATATGCATGTACATATACATATACATATACATATACTCTGGAGTGGAGGTTTGCATATGTAGATATATGATTATATATACGTCAATATCAATGTCTATGTTTTATTTGTACATGTTCAATCCATGTCTCAATGAAAGCATATCAAAGCCAGAAAACATGCTGCCCAGTTGCTGGGGAAAACGGGGAGGATCGATTGGTTGCACAGCTTGGGGCAGCCGCTGTTGAAAGTGTCTGAACTGTGAGGATCCACCACCACATGGGTGACATGGCTTGAAAGATGGTGGATGTAAATCCAAACAAAATGCCAATGCTAGTTGTGGATCAATATTTCAGAATGGTTCTGCTAATCCAACTTTTGAAAAGACAACGGGGTAGAATGGTTGTTGCAAATCCTGTTGGGCCTTGTCTACCAGTTTGTTCCAAACTAAACAGTCCAAACCTGTGCAACCTTTTGGAGTCGATGGATCAACCAGCAGGCCATCTTGAAACAAGCCTTGAACTTATACTGTCTACAATGTCTATAATGTCCATACTGTCTTGAAGCTTTTTTCGCCGATTGCAAGTCTGAAATGAACGACTCAGCAGTTTGGATGCACTTTGCAGAGATTTCGCACCGAATGCAAACCAAAGACTTGGCTTGCAACAGGACGAACTCCCCGATGGTGCGAGTTGAAACTAACGTTCTTGAACTTCAAGGCCTCACACATCCGACCAATACACGACACACTCGAAGACATAAGGGCAGCAATGACTTTATACATCAAAACATTATACATTGAATCATATTAATAGTATCAATAATATTTATTAAAATTATAAAAAACAAGAATATTAATGCATATTGATACATATTAATACATTTTTTTCTTCTACCATGCGCCTCGTGCAGGGACCCTGCAACTAAGTGAGACGCTTGGGCGCCTGGCTTATATGAACCGTTGTTTTGCAAACTCTAAAATGTTGTTGTCTTGATCAATTGAGGCGACATAATCAGTCGCATTTTCCCGAGAATGGATGAGTTCATTAGTGTTATAAGCCCAATTAATTCTGGGTCTGCCAACCCGTCTTTTGCCAATCCGTTTAACTGTTGCTGTGTTCGGCTCATACACCACTTGCCGTAACGGGTCGCTGTTAGCTGCCCGGAGGATATGTCCGGCTAAGTGAGTTCGCTTCTCATCCAATATTGCAGAAAAAGGTCGAACACTTGAAAAAGGATCATCTGGGTAAGCAATTTGAGAAGCCAACTCATAAACACGTGCATTCGTATACCTCCTATCGACGTATGTCGTGGGTACTTGAAGTATTTTCCTCAAGCCCCGTAAATGGAAATTAATACATACAAATACATATTAATACATATTAATACATATTAATACATATTAACACATATTAATACATATTAATACATGTTAATACATATTAATACATGTTAATACATGTTAATACATATTAATACATTATATAGTCATGTATATATACATATATAACATATCCAGTATCTCCGCTGTCTAAAATAAAACTGTTCTGTTGCTCCAGTAAGTTCCAGACATCCAGAATGTGATGTGGCGCCTGGACGCATGAAGCATTAGGCAAGACCGTCTGTTCGGATGCCATCGTACAGAAAAACGACATGGCAAGATCCAATTGAAGTTTGTATTCTGTATGCAATACTTCATCTGATTGAAAGGGAAAGCAATGGAAAGCGCAGGGAAGGCCAAGAGCTCAATAGTCACTTGTCTCCTATATACATATAAAATCATATAAAATATATCAAGGTGTGCAAAGTTCTTGCCAGCGATGCAATGACATGCAATGACAATGCAATTGTCATCCCGGCCTTTCCAAACAACCTGGAAGCCCCTGCTTCTGGCCTCGGCAGTTTAGGTAGATGGACCATTGGATTTTAATAGACTTTAGGGCTTAAATGGGGTACACCATTTTTTTGGGAAAGCCATGTTTGGAGCATCCAGGACGATGCTTTGATGAAACAGGACCTAAATGACTCGGCACCACTGTGGTTCGTGCAAGAAGTGGAGCGGAAGATTCACATTGTCTGCCCTGCAGAAATCAATGTGTCAACTCTGGCATCAGCTGGTGAAGTGTGTGTGTGTTCCTCTCTTCATGTAATCTGGTGATGATAGACTAATGATTTCCTGATACATGACATTGAGTGTCTGATTCCAAATTGGGTTTGAGATGGCATGGCCTGAAGCCAGAGATCAGGCTAGGTGGCGATGTGGCGGCAACCTGCTGCGCTGCGCTGTGCCCATCTCAGGGACCCGAATCGTCTCTGAGGCACGAGCCAGCCATTCAAAGCCCAGGCAAGTTCCCCACAGCGGCAGCTGGTTGTGAGGATCGCCAACCTATGTCATGTGATGTTTGTAAGTAAGGTGATCAAAGGGTCAGACCAGAAAAATCATCGGTTTAACTTTAGGATTCCCATCTTGGATCATGATAGATCATGATAGATCTGATATATCATCATCATTCTCATAATATTCTCCAATATCATTACCTCATTTCCAGATATGTTTATTCTTGGCATGATTCTTTTGGCACATGGCAGAACTGCCTTAAACAGTTCCTCAGATCGTTGGAGAACACGTAGAGCTGCTGGAGGTGGCTTCAAGTCGGCACCTCGTTTGGTGCCGCAGTCCCTGGAGAAAAACTGGTTGAGAACGGGATTCCCCTATGGTTATCTAAACAAATCTAATAATGGTAATTATATATTTGAATGTATTTGATGATATATTTGGGGGTTATACATGGTTATGATATGTTATGATGATAATCCATGATAATCCCCAAGATTATTGATAATATTGGACATTATTGGACCATGTCCAATCATTTTTTTCATCCCCAATAATCATCAACCAGGGGCAAAAATCGCAGCCATTGCTCACATGTTGCAGCCTCCAGTGAACAGGAAGCCGTTCAGGGACTCGAGAAGTTGGTCCATCTGAACGCGGTTAAAAAATCTCCGCACTTCCCTCCAGCCACTGAAAAACGATGTAAAAAACCTCTGGGGAGCCTCAGAGTCGGTTGCATTGAAGCTGACAGGCCTCAGAAACGATGGGACATGGTCCCCGAAGAAAGGGACTTGATGGGACCTAATTGTTGATCTATATTTAGTCAACCTACAGCAATCTATAAAATCTATGTGTATGGGTATAATCATCTAACGAGGACCTATACTTAAATTATACTTAAGCTCAAAAAAATGTGTTTTCCCCGAACCGCAGTCTACTAGACCCTGTTGATCTCTCTCTCTCTCTCGCTCTCTTTCTCTCTCTCTCTCTCTTGGTGAATTTTGGGCCCTCAAGTTTGGCACTCACTGTGCTATCTTCGAATTGTATCTGCTGAGGGAGGGGCACAACTTCACCACCGGCAGACTCAATGAACTTCACATATGAAGCTGGCAAAACCTGCACTCTGTGGTGCCCATTGTGGGTTGTAGAAAGCTCGGAGGTCAAACATGACACTAACATGGGTGAGCACCGCTGAACTCCGTTGAACTCCTGCCTCGCAATTGGAGTTGCTGCAGAACATCCTGGCTCAACCCGAGTCAAAGTGCAATGCCAAAGGCACCAAACCCGGCAGCAACACGGGGCAGTTGGCAGGGAGAACATGCCAATCACAGGGCTGCCCTGGCAGCTGCAAATCATTTGGGTCACAAGAATATGCAGAATGGGCAGTAGCATGTCAGGATGTTTCTGTGCCTCTTTCAGAGCTGCTCCGAGTGCAATGCATGACAACCTGGCAAAATATCCGATCAAAGCATGTCAAGACTGCAACAACTTGGAGGAGCTGCATCAACGAAGCCGCACCTCCAAATGCACCGCCAGGTCATGATGAGATGTGCCGTTCAGATCCGTTCAGTATGTACAGTCGGCTGCCCTACTGTTTCACTGTTTCCACTGTTCAAGACCAATCAGGCCGTTTTCCGTGCAGTGTCAGGAAGACTTGTGGATGATTACCAGCAGATGTCTTGGTGTCTGGGCTTGCACACATGCGTGTCTGTGTGTGTGTATGTGTGTGTTTGTGCTGGCCTACATGCTCAGGCTGAATTCTGGCTTTGGAGTCTGTTGAAGAAGCGACAAGCAAGCTTGATACCGAACATTGAACGCGGGCGCAACAAAATCAGATCTCAGTGCTTCTTGAATTGCACTTCGAGTAAACTTGATGGCAGGATGCTGTTGACCTAAAACGACAAAATTGGTGTATGTAAAGATGATTAAAACGACGAGCAATATACTAACAAATACAGATCATGATATGTATATATATATATAACATATATATATATACTGTATGTTGTATATGTATAGATATGTACATGATGACTCCAGGTCTGTGAGTGGTGCGGAACAAAAAGCGTTTCGAAAAAAAGGCAGCGACCGTAGCGGATGTGTCCTTTGCCATCCAGGACGCTTCTGGTTTGCACCTCAAATCTAGACTCATTGCATGCGTCCTCGAGCAAGATCAATGGATTGATTTGAGGGAATTGAATAAGGGACATTTTGCAGGAAAAAAATGTGTGTTTTTTCATATTTTCCACTAAAAATAGAAATAGTGGTTTCCTGAAATTATCCAAATTGCTATTGATTCGGAGCTTCTTTTATCGTTTCAACTGCACCAAGCTCCCAGCAACGAGAGGGACAGCGTTGCCACTGCGAGCCTAATGGTCTGGAAAAATTCGCATGCAAGGCGAGTTGGCTTATAATTTGAAGACATCATTTTTGTCTGAAAATAGGGATGGTTAATTACTAGTTCACTACTATATCATCATATACTAGTATATACTATATATAATCATTATAATCATATGATTTCCTATTCAATTGGTCATTTGGAGGCTATGCAAGAAAAATCAAAGAACCCCATTTGAAAACCACGTTCCGTCACTGAGAAGTTGGCTACAACACGACCAGTTGAGCCAGCACGCCCAGAAGTGGCAGTTCCAGGGGTGCTAGAACCACTTGCTTGGGATGCCTGCACAGCTGCACATCGGTCTCATGTCAGAGTCATGTAAACAAGTGTGATACAGAGTTTGGTTGTATGAAAAGAATGAAAAGAATGAAACAAGTTGGCCATGATAGCCCTATACAATCGGAGTGATTCATGTCACAGACCACAGAACCACCTTCTCAACTAAATGCCCTTTGACTATCCTGAACCATTTTTGGATAGAGTTTGGCATTCACAAGTTCTGCATCCTATACATATATATGACTTCACTCATTCCAGCGGCCATTTTCACTGCTGCCAAAGCAGACACGGTTGTTTCAAATGTCCGTCAGGAACATCAAGGTGAAGTCAAGGCAGCCACAACGTGTAGCTGCTGATGCAACCCGCCAGTTAGTCGTGGTGGAGGGGCCGGTGGTGGCCAGATTGAACTTGAGAACAAAAAGACGGCAGCATGAGTCACCACTTCCATGATGCGTCAAACACCTGTGAACAGGAAAAATGACTTCACTCATTCCAGCGGCCATTTTCACTGCTGCCAAAGCAGACACGGTTGTTTCAAATGTCCGTCAGGAACATCAAGGTGAAGTCAAGGCAGCCACAACGTGTAGCTGCTGATGCAACCCGCCAGTTAGTACCCATACCCATATTCATATGACTTTGGCCACCTGTTCCGCGACCAATGCAGCCAACTTCCAAGGGTACGGTTGAGCCAGCAGGGTTCTGAAAATGCCGCAGGTAGAGAGACCTGCCAGCGGAACATGTGGACGATGGGTTGCGGAGCAACACTTAAATGTACCAGTGCATCGTTTGTTCAGAGTATGCAGGTCCCAAAAGTTACCAACAACAGCAGTAGGTTTTTTCCAGTCTTCTCCGTATTGACAAAAATCCAAGATAACAAGACCAGGATCATATTTGCGGCGAAATTTCAGCATGGGAGGCATATACCAGATATAGCTAGTGGCAGGATTCTCAAGGGCATAGGGAATCGAATATTGTTGACAAAGCTCCAAAATACGAATCGAAAAACGCAGAAGCTGATTACCCTGTTCTACCTTGAATCTGTCACCTGCTGATAGCCAAGGAAATCCAAACAAATTGTCGTAATCACGCAATGGTCCAGGCCCCACATCATCCCATTTTCTAGCTTGTGAGAAGCTGGTGCAAGGCATGCCCAGCCATATGAAAGCAATCCTACGCTGCTGAATCCAGTGTACAATGGTATGCTCGATATCCACATGTAAAACATTGTGCGAAGGAAATAGACAAATATCAATGGGAAAAGCGGGAATATTGTGAAAATTCAATCTATCAGTAATGCGAGCTGTACCAGAAAAAATTTCGAGGCAGAATCTCTCAGGCAATGAACTGATCGAGAAAACATCCATCCAACCTAGGTTCATGGCAGTCGAGGGGTCACTTGGCCCTTGAGCATTCTCTCCATGTTTGCTTGCGACCACTGACAATACTCCATGTGACTTGGTGACAAAGTTGCCATCAGTCGTTGGATCTTCCCCACCTTCCCGTACCTTCGCACGCTTTGATCGGTATGCCATCGACCTCTGATCTTCACGGCCTGAGCATCTCTTTCTCCACTGTTCAGGTCCTCTGACGCTCCTCCATGACGAGTTTGATAAGGGTGCAAACTTTTGATGTTGAGCAACTTTCCCACGCTCTGAAAGCACTTCCTGCACTCTGCTGCAGAGAATGGGTAGATGAAGTCGTCCTTGTTGTTCAACTTGCTCACCCGGGCCATCATCAAGGGACCGAGATACTCTCGGCCTGGAGAATTCAGAGGCACTGAATTGTCGAAGATCCCCACCTTGTCTGGCTTGAGGTCCTGGCTGTCCCTGACAATCACGGAATGCCAGCGATACTGACGACCTGCACTGCGAACTGGAGGAACTATGTCTCGTCCTCGTAGCTCTATGCTCTCGCCAGGTCTGAGGTACGTGTCGTGGTCCACCATGAGTTTCAAGGACATCAGTTTCTTTCCTTGAGCAGCCATGGCCATTGCCATTCCACAAGCAATCAGACGAGGCAAGGGTAGTCGGCTTTGAGGAGGACGTTCTCGCCTCCATCCCTTCAAAGCCCGCCAGCACCGCACCAAAGTGCCTTTGAGATGGATCTGCTCGAACTCCACCGCGGCAACCACTTTCTCTCCCTCCGCCGCCGAGCCTCCATCTAGAAACAGCACGTCCAAGAAGTCTACAAGAATGTCGTCCACGTTGCTGTGAACTGGCCATCCCAATCCGCTGGCCCGGCAAAAACTCTCGAACTTCGCCAGGTACTGTCGATATTGATGTTGCACCTCCTTGGACACTGAACGGGTCTCCAGCATGGTAAGAAGCTTCGATTGGGCCCTCTTTCCCAACATCTCTACAGGCTCCATCACCATACGACCAACCACCCTTCGAGGTGGAGGGGCAGCTTTCACTGGAGTATCCTTCGGCTTCAAGATGCGAGACGTCGACGGCTTGACCGTCGGCTTGCTCGAGCTCGAGCTGCTTACATTCATCTTCTTCACCACCTTCGGCTTTGGTGTGAGGCACCTCTTCGGATTCATCTTCGTGGGCGCTATCAGCAAACTGCCGGTAAGCACCCGGCTGGATCTGGCCTCTTGAGGGGCCATCGGCTGGATTGAGTTCTGAGGGCAGCCAACGTAGTCGGAGACCCAGCCCGGCAGCAAGAGACAAAGCTGCCACCTGCTGTGTAATCCGGAGCAGCCGAAAATTCTTTGCTCTGCCCTTGGACACTGCAAGTGCCAAAGAAAAATTGTCTACTAATATGACATGTTTCTTGTTCCGACTGTGACTTGACCGCGAGAGACGGCGGAGACAAATGATGAGAGCGCGGCCCTCCTTCAGTGTGATGTGTTCATGACTGCGCCACTTTCCCATCAAAACAGTTTTCCAAAGCGAAGGACGCAGCAATCGACAATCAACCTCTGGGAAATCTTCATTAAGTTTGACAAGATCGTCATCATAATCACCATCATGTCCCAACCCTGTTACTGTAATGGGGTCACAAACCGGATCCCTCTGAAGAGCCCGCCTGCGTGGTGCCCACTCCTCAGGCCCCAGGCGCTTGAATCTCCAGCGCTCGTTCCACCTGCCCAAGCGTTGTGCAGATGCACCACCAACACGCTGTTCACAAATACCAAAACCATCAGGACTGGCATCAGTGCAGGTGATAACATCCGACCAACCACGTTTGATGTCAGCAAAGAGCAATGGAATGAGACCTGAGAAAATAATACACTCACGCGACTCTTGCTTATTGAGCATCCGAGGTTCACAATTGCTCTCAATAAAATCATAGCAACGTCGAAAAACTGACATGCCGGATCGGTTCAATGTAGAGAAAAACATTGCATGTCCCAACAATCTTCTCATAATATCAGGGGAAACCACATGTGAAGCAGCATGTTCGAAAGCAAATTTGAGGTCCCATGCGCGTCGATTTGTCATCCGCACATGTCCCGCCTCTCCGTCCACCAGCCCACCCAATGTCTCGAAGTGATGGCTGGCAGGGGCGTCCTCGTGAATACAAAATCCCATGTTGCCGAGTTCATCGACAATCGCTTGCTTACCGTGTTCACAGCGATCCCGTTCGAGAGATAGGCAATGAATATTGTCACAATAAGGCATGCTATATATACCACCTTCATGGAGGAGAGGAGGAGGACGTGCATCAAGGAAGAGCTCACCCTCTGTAATGTCCAGGCTACGCAACACGGCATGCTGATGAATATGCTGTACCAAGTAGAATGACCAGGAAAATCCCATAGGCAAAACATTAACACAAGGAGAAACCATGGTACCATCATCCCCAGTATACTGACCTCCCGATACCCACCTGGCATCGGCTCCTGAGATATCAAACTCAAAACAGAAGAACTCCATCATCTCAGTAGGAATATGCACACCGTAGAAACAATCCTGGATGTCGGCTCCCCCCAAGAATAGTGTAGCATCGTTAGGCAAGTCCACTTCCGCAAGACTTGCAAGGCTTCCCAATTCTGTATGAGGTGAAGGTTTGAACAACAAGTTTGTCTGACGACAATCCAACACAAGTCTTTGACGTTGCTGAGTCACTCCTCCAATATTTTTGGGCTTCTTGCTGACAGTAAATGCACCTACCCTCCCCCGGCATCGATTGACGAAAGAAAGAATCCCACAACCATACATCATCCTAAGAAAAGTAAGGTATTTGGATCTATCCTTCAGCGATGGGTCACTGTAGGGCTTAAGGTGGGCGCAATCCCTAGAAATACTTGTCCAAATATCAGGGTCCTGCAGCATGACACCCTCAAAGTTATCCACGACCCCCTGAAGGGAGCTATCAAGCGCCGATCGCAACTCCACGCCAGCTCCACTTCCATCAGGAAGCGACAAACGCTCCAGCTGCAATGGCACCACGTCACCAACGCTAACCTCTGGTTCAAAATAAGCAGAGGCAGCCACCCGGAGCGCCTTAAGTGCTCCCGAGTCAGTTGCAGTGGGTGGGGCACCCATAGTTCGAACTGCAGACAGGATCGAAGTGATTGCCTCCCTCTGTAATAAAGGCAACCCATCCAAACCACCCACAGCCTCCACTGTGGGGAACCCAGAGGTCCCAAAGAAAAGCGAATTCAAACTGTCAATGGCCTGGTTAGCTCTCTCAGCAATCCTTGCCCGACACAAAATTCTCCTTGAAGTGGCCCGACACAAGCTATGCTTTTGTACAGCATCGACCCTCAAACGAGGCAATGGAAAAATGTCCCTATTGCGATCATCAGGAGTCGGCTCATGAAAAATCGGGCTGCTCCATCGACTTCTCATCTTCGCAGTGTCGAAAAAGCGCAAGAAACAGTGATGGCCACACCGCCAAGCCACCACCAGCGCAAAAGCTCTCACGCAGCACCCCCCCCAGCTTTAGCAGGGGGAGGATTTTTGGGTTGTACTGGTACTGGTTGACCTTTCTTGCCACCTTTTCCCAAGCTAGTCGCCTCGGAGAGCTTCCTCTTCTCCTTCATGATCTGACTTTGTGCTTGCATCTTCTTACTGACGTGGTCAGTCAACGATGGGACGACAATCCCGCCACCCATCTTGTAGGTCTCTCCAAGATAGTGTTCAGCTCCAAGATATGATGGAGCACCTGGGGAGCCCGAGTGAGCATCTGCCAGAAGCTGTCTCCTGCGGCACACCAACTCCATGCAAGCCAGATTTGCAATGTTTAATGAGTCATAGCACAGTGCAGTGTCTAGCACTCTTGCAAGGAGCTGGTCTTCATAGACCGACCTATCCCCTGGAGGGATGCCAGCTGAGTTGATCCATATATGGTGTTGTGCAGTAGCACTTTCAGCGATACCTGACACAGCACGCACATAGTCCAGTGCTGTCCTCGGTTCCAATGGCCAATCGTCAAATTCAGTCTGAGATAATTCACGAACTGATTCCCTGAAGTTACGCTGCCTCTCTCCATTAGAAGCATAGCGTACCTCAAGGGTTCTGACGTCCTCGGCCACGGACTTCTCAACACCTTCAGAGCTTTCAGCTGACCTCGCCAGGAGTATACGGTCATCACAGAAAGCAGCAACCGCATCGTCCGTCAATCGTCGAACCAAGCATGGGCGCTCAACATTGTCAGTACCCGTAATGTTGCACAAGCCATAGTCGCCAAGGGTAACCAACTCCGGTCCCGGAACTACACGCTCTCCAATCTTACGACCAACCACCATTTCACCCAGCACCCAGAACTGAACTGGAGCAGGCCCTGCAGGACCAACCCCCATACCACCAGCGCCTGGAGCAGGAGCTGCAACGCCAGCCCTGACACCACCAATGCCTGCAGCTGCAGGCTCAGCGGCTAGCCCGCGTGCAGCTCGAACCAACTGTCCCTCTGCACGACCTTGGTCCATGAGACGAGTGAGCTGCTGCATAGTCATGGGAGCAAATCCATACACCCGATCACCTCTAAGGCCAGCGGGGAGAGCCCCGTTTGCACGCCCTTGCCAAACACGAGTGATATCTCCATTCACGCCCGGATCCAAAACCTCTGAGTAAACGTCGAAGTCAGGGGTCCCTATGATAAATTCACTTCCCGGTGCATCTACCACATCCAGAATGAGTCTGCAATGTACAACTTGTGGTGGGCCTTCGCCATAATCCACATATGCAAGGTCGCCAATGTTCAGATTCATCCTTCAGTCAATTGAAGCCCTTTGGGAACACCGTAAACTCCGAAACCCCCTTTCTTGCCCTTGACTCCTACAGAGAACTCGTGGCGCTTGCCAGACTCTGAGTCTCGATATGAGAATCGAAATGCCAGGGCTGCGTTGGAGCACACCAAGAGGCACCCCAAAACGCAACCAACCAACACCAACACGTTCCCCAGCCACCCTACCTCAGAGCTGCCAGATGTGTTGCAATTGCACTGGCACTTACAGGGCACCGACTCCAACTTCGGTGGATATGTGGACCACTCCCTCGCAAGCCAGCCTAGAACGAAGCTCCCTATGGCAGCCGGGGCAAAGAGAGGATGGTCCATGGGGATAACAACCAGATTGAACTTGAGAACAAAAAGACGGCAGCATGAGTCACCACTTCCATGATGCGTCAAACACCTGTGAACAGGAAAAATATATACATTAAAACATATTTGAACATATTTAGAACATATTGAACACATATTGAAGACATATATTGAACACAGATGGAGAGAAAAAGACACTACAAACGTCGGCTCGGCGCCTGGCGTCCACTGACTGGTGGAGCTCCCTGGCTACGGGCTCCAATCCGCCTTTAATTTGGGGCAATACAGTACTGTAATGACTGGCTGCTACCATTATATATATATATACTATATTGTACTATATTGTACTATATATATACACTATATTGTAAAATTGTACTATATTATACTAGATTAAACTATATTATACTATCTTATACTATCTTATACTATCTTATACTATATCATACTATCTTATACTATATTATACTATCTTATACTATATTATACTATCTTATACTATCTTATACTATATTATACTATATTATACTATATTATATTATATTATAATATATTACACTATATTACACTATATTATACTATATTTTACTATATTATACTATATTATACTATATTACACTATATTACACTATATTATACTGTATTATACTATATTTAACTATATTATATTATATTATATTATACTATATTATACTATATTATACTATCTTATACTATCTTATACTATATTTTACTATCTTATACTATCTTATACTATCTTATACTATATTATACTATCTTATACTATCTTGTACTATATTAAAGTATATTATACTATATTATACTATATTATACTATCTTATACTATATTATACTATCTTATCCTATATTATACTATATTATAATATCTTATAATATATTACACTATATTACACTATATTACACTATATTATGCTATATTATGCTATATTATACTATATTATACTATCTTATACTATCTTATACTATCTTATATTATATTATAATATATTATACTATCTTATACTATCTTATACTATATAAAACTATATTATAATATATTATAATATATTGCACTATATTATACTATATTATACTATATTAAAAATAATTATAATATATTATAATATATTATAATATATTACACTATATTATACTATATTATTCTATATTTTACTATATTGCACTATATTATACTACATTATACTATATGAAACTATATTATACTATATTATAATATATTACACTATATTACACTATATTTAACTATATTATACTATATTATAGTATATTACACTATATTATACTATATTATACTATATTATACTATATTATCCTACCTTATACTATCTTATACTATATTATACTATATTATACTATCTTATACTATCTTATACTATATTATACTATATTATACTATCTTATACTATCTTATACTATATTAAACTATATTATACTATATTATAATATATTATAATATATTACACTATATTACACTATATTTAACTATATTATACTATATTATAGTATATTACACTATATTATACTATATTATACTATCTTATACTATATTATACTATATTTAATTATATTATATCATACTATACTATATTATACTATATTTAATTATATTATATTATACTATACTATATTATACTATATTATACTATCTTATACTATATTATACTATCTTATACTATCTTATACTATATTATATTATATTATACTATCTTATACTATATTATACTATATTACACTATATTATACTATATTATACTATATTTAACTATATTATATTATTATATTATACTATATTATACTATATTATACTATCTTATACTATCTTATACTATATTTTACTATCTTATACTATATTTTACTATCTTATACTATCTTATACTATATTATACTATATTATACTATCTTATACTATCTTATACTATATTATACTATATTACACTATATTATACTATATTATACTATATTTAACTATATTATATTATATTATATTATACTATATTATACTATATTATACTATCTTATACTATCTTATACTATATTTTACTATCTTATACTATATTTTACTATCTTATACTATCTTATACTATCTTATACTATATTATACTATATTATACTATCTTATACTATATTATATACAGTATACTATATTATAATACAATATTATCATACTACTGTGATTAATTGGACCAGAGTGTAGTGGTTGCAATACAATTATTTGCTACAGTATTGGGCCAATACAACAAATATACCTGCAAATATGTATACAAATATATCTAGAATCTTGTTGAATCTTGTAGATGCAACATTATTACATCATATCACAATATGTTGCATATTCATTGTTTGATATAGTGTCTGTATATGACATATACAAAATGAAACAACATGACACGAAAGTTAATATAGACTTGATACGGTAGCAACCCGCTGACATGTTCAAGACATGATGGTTGTACCACTCGAACTGGCACAGCTGGACGACCTTGAGAGAAACTGCTGGTAATCCTTGGAGGAGCGGCTTGGAAGCTGCTGCTTGTCCGTCAAATGCCATGCCAAGCGGTGAACCCGATCCGTGGTTCTGAGCGCCGAACACAGCAGAATTGTTTTCATGCAATTTTCCTGCATACGTCCCATTATGCAGAAAGATACAGAAAGAGGCTGAGCAAATTTTCATAAAAGTTCTTCCAACAATAGGTCGGGCGGAGGTACACAGTCAAAATCAACATCGCAGCAGAAGGGATATCTTCGCGGCACTCCAACCAGTCAACCAGGTGCGACAAAATCAAGGCAAAGGATCAAAGAACATGGTCAAATGGCAGGTGTCTTATCAATATCCTCAATGAAAACGCTTGTTTTTGGCTGAGCATGCTTGGCACATTCATGAATTGTATCGTGTGGATAGCAAACCATTAACTCTCCATTAACTATCCATTAACTATCGATTAACTATCCATTAACTATCCTTTAACTATCACTTAACTATCCATTACCTATATATGTTTTCATATGTTTTCTAGTATCTCCCTGGCTCCCCATTTTTCACAGCTATGCAAAATCAACCAGCTCAACGTTCCGCTCGCTGCCTGGGCCTGGCGGAAAGCTCGCTGGGAAGTGCCTGCAGCTGTTGAAAAACTTCTTTGATGCAGCCAGCAATCAAGCCCCAAAACGATAAAATCATATAAAATTCAATGCTACCATAGGTTTCCATCTGGAAGTTACATGAAGTTACTACACTATAGTATATGTATAGTATACTATAGTCAATATGTAAATGTTGTGAAATGCTGTGTAGATTTTTTTGAGAGTCTTGAACTTTCCCGACTGTGGCACAGGCAAGGAAAACCCGTCGAGTTGGGCAATTCAAATCCAGGTGCGATGAAAAGCCACGCTGAGCTCCGTGCGCTTGATTCATAGCCACAACTTGTGAAAGGCATATCTGCAAGTTATATTTAATGTTTTTGCATGCACAGCGTTTCATAACATGTCATGTCATTTCATAACATATCTCACAACATTTCAAAGCATTTTAAAACATTTTATAACATGTCGTAACCTTTCTACCTCTGCACAGGGAATGCTCTGTGGATCTTGTGGCTAGTTTCATCTGGTTTCTGTAATCAACCCTCCAACCTTCGTAGAAACAAACATGTCTGGGTATACGGTATACTTTGGCAGCGCCACTGGCCCCAACCATAAGACAAATAATTAACGCTCTGGTTTAACGCTCTGGTTTCTTTGAACCTGCAAGCGCCGCTTGAAGCTCTCTTGATCCAGTTGGAAGGTCTCAGCTTCCATCACAGTATGGAATGGAGGCATGTTGTGACCATCTGTGAACATTTTTGCCATGCTAATCGCAGTGCTATGCCTGGACATCCTTTTCCTTTTCGCGTCTTTTTTTGTACAGCCTGTCCCGCAGCTTGCGTCACCATTGGACGCTGCTGGTTGGCAGAGCCATCCGCACCTGTTCTTCCAAAGTACCCAATGCACACTGTACTTTCTGCAAAATGGTCTAGTTTGCCGGCCGAACATACTGAAACTGAAAACCAACTATTTGAGGCATGGGAATTTGAAATTGAAAAAGGATGAAAAAGTGATCATTTCCCATCAAACCCTGACGAGAGCCATGACCAGCCTCGGTCCTGTGGAATTGCCTCGCTCACCGGCCACGAGGAAGTGCCTTTCAATGACGAGAATATGACTGTTCCACCTAGATTGTCTGCTGGACCATCCAGTGGAACCAGACGCCATGACGTCTGGCCATAAATACGAGTTGAAAATAGTTGAAAGCCATCCGAATGCAACCCCAAAAAAAACATAAGGGATGGCCACATCCAAAGACTGCGTTAGCTGGACATGTCAAACCGAAACGTTAGGAGCCATGGGGACGCTTTCTGATGTCCCATGACTCATGACATCTCAGGCAGATGCGGATGGGGAGACTTCCATAGAGCACGAGGCACTTCAGAAATGGTTGGAATATGTTGAAACTACCAGGTCTTCGTCCACGATGTGATCAGTATCCATCCAACTCACAAATAAACTATGATAGAGCGATGCAACCTGCTGGTCGACTGTCATCAATACCGCTCGAGTATAAGAGGATGTAGAGAACCATCCACAGTCGTAGTGCCGAAGTAACGATTGTGATGCTCTTCACAAAGAAGTAGTGTTGCCGAGCACCACTTTGATCGTACTGCTCACAAGGCTTCGGCGAGGATATCATCGACCAAAGGCCACGTCGTTGCGTGGTATGCAGTTGCTCATTCCATGCGCGAGAACTACATCTGCAATAGCAGTTGAGTTCTTCTCAATACTTTGCAGCCTCAACCCTAATCTCACGAAAGGAGAACATGTGTAAAACATAGAATAAATACATCTGATACATCCCAATCATCCCACGATCGCACTGGCAGCTCCGAGAATAGGATGCAAGAGCTCTCATTCTTGAAAAACAATCGCCGGAAAATGATGGAACATGTTGGCTCAAAATTTTCTCGTTGAAATCCAAATAACATCCGGATAATGCCCTCAGACCTTGCAATCCAAATACGGAAGTTTGTGCAACCTTCATACTGCATTGCAAGTGTTTGAATACCTTGTTTTGAGAAGCCAAAACTTAATTACAACCCAAAAACAAGGAAATATAATGACATATATAATAAATTAACAATACATATACATCACATACAGCGCTATCACTCTTAAAACATCTTCAAACACAGTCGTTCCATTTCAAAGACTTCAAAGTAGGATCGCAATCATTCCACAACTTTGGACGCCATTGATTGACTACTGCTCTTCAGCCACTGCCCGGTGCCTCAGAATCAATGGAAGCCTTGAGCAGCAAATGCCATTCTGCCATCGACCTGTTCCATGGTCCAGATGACGTGTACGGTATATCTGACCGATTTTGATGACAAATCCCATAAAGGGATGAGAATAAAATGCCATTAGAAGCACGCGCAATAAATAACATCAATAACATGCACCGATTGAAATAAGATGCGAATATAAAACTGCGGTGGATGTGAAATATGGAAATCATGGATCAAGCCGTTCTTTCGCAAAAGTGCCGAAGAAATCTGTAAAGTGCTCATAAAGCTCTCGAATGTTCTCGAATATGTGATTCACTAGAAGAAACATGAGGCAAAAGAAAGATCCGGTTGCAAACTTCATGTCGTCGGTGTCTGCAAACTCAACGCCACCAGGAAGGGACTCGGGGACTCGCAATTTGCACAAATCCGCAGGTGGTGACCATCGTGACGAGTACCATCCGAGTGAACGGAGTCCATGGATCCATTGTATCTCGCAGCATTCTTGCAGTTTGTGGTAGCCGTCTGTAGTGGTTCCAATGCTCATTCACAAAGCCCGGGTCGTGCAAATAGGATATGTAAATTTGATTCAGGAGATTGTCCATTCTCTGCAGGAACCCAAACAATCTGCATGTGCAAATAGATAGATGAAATACGGATACACACTTGGTCGATGGAGAACGGGTTGCACACAAGTTGAATAATTGAATAGAATAAGAAGAACGAACTTCGGCGAACATCCTTTGAAAAAATACTGCATCATGTTGCTACCAACTGAATACCAATACCACTGTGTCCTTCTGTGTGAAACGTATCATACAGCTTCACGTGTCCAGAAATCCGTCGCCACCTTTCATCGAGTTCGGAGACAGCACGCTCAGCTTCCCGGTGGCTGCCAAATTCAACCTGGGTCATATTCATATATTGAAGAACCATACATGGAATACCATCATCATCGTCATCATCATCATCATCATCATCACCATCATCATCATCCCCACCATCATCATCATCATCATCATCCTCATCATCCTCATCCTCATCCTCGCCGTCGTCGTCCATCATGATTTCTATCATGAAATCCATCATGAATGTACTCGATTCAGTTTGCCCGGTACCTAAGAGATTCCATCATTTGCTCGGTTTCGGTATTGCTCGGTTTCCAACCCATCCACGCTTTGGCGCATCACGGGGACCATCCAAAAGCCGCAAGTTCAAGACCTGCCAGGGAGATCCCTGAAGTGCGAACCATGGGATGTGCAAATTCACCGCAGAACCATGGACTTGATATCACTGGTGTCCTTAAATGGATTTCATGTAAGAAATGGATAGACATGGACTTTCATGGCCGCGATTTCATATCCCAAAGGATTTCCATATATCATGAGTCATCATATTATAATATATCCCTCAAATGGATTTAAGATCTCCGGTTCACATTCCCAAAGCATCGGACTAATCATTAATCCGCTCCTGCCTTGCCATAATTGGCCACGGTATCCTTGAGCTCCGCTTCATCCATATCATGGGGAAGATTGGAAATGTTCATGCGAACTCTGGTCTCTCGATCTCTGGAACGAGATCGATCACCTCTGCGTTGATCACCAGGTGGGCCTTTCAAAAAGTGACCAACTGTCGCTAGGAAATCTGGAACTGCCATCTTGATATATCTTGGGTGAATGTAGACAAAACTGCGGCGAAGACGTCCAAATTGTAGATACAACATGCTACAACCAGTTATGTTCAGATATGTTTGGATCATTCCACATCACTTGGCAAAGTCTAACAACCTGATGTTCCTGCCTCTATTGCGGCCCCGATCAGGAGCAGGGTCTCTCCGCTCCTGAACACGCAGCTGCGCCACCTCTGTTTTAATTACTTAGAAATTCTCAAGTTCCGATTTTACATGATGCAACATGTTTCAACTAAAAAAGTGTCCCAAAATTGAGTTCGAAATTATCAGAAACGGAATCTTATTGAAATGTCATACTTTTCCCGTCGTTTTCCCAGGTTTTTTCATCCCCGTGCCAGGCTTCCCCGCACGCGGAGCCATGTCTCGGGCATCCCGGGCATCCCGGGCATCCCGGGCATCCCGGGCATCCCGGGCATCCCGGGCATCCCGGGCATCCCGGGCGGCTTCGCCTCGGTCGTCTCGACGCCCGGCACCTCGGGTTCCATGGATTTTCCATAAACATTCATAAGCCATCCACATATATCCACATCATCCACTTATTATTGGATCTCATTGGTACATCTTGTTACCCCATTTTAGGATACCTCCATCTATAGTGTACGGATCGGAATGATAAACATATATGATTGGAACATATCGAAAATGTGCGGGTTTTGGGTGCTTTCAAGTAGCAAAAAAAAACAATTGCATTCTGAGTTCTGATACTGTCGCCTCGGGTGCTTTCGTCTCGGCCTGTGTTTCTGTGGGGGATGGGGCATGGGTACAGTGGATTCGTAGCCTGGAAAAAATCAACGGTTTTTGAGAGGCAAATATACATCACACATCATCACACAGTATTACATGTATAAATAAAAAATGGATACCAGTAGTGCCGCAAAAGGTGGTGGCGGAAATTTCAAAGATAGGAAACCTATAGGAAAGGTGAGTTGTTGTGACGTATGGATGCCTATCAATGGCATTCTATCTGTCATATGTTCTGATACATGTCGGGAGGTAAATAACAATTAAATTCGAAAAATAAAGTGAACCGTAATAGGTATAACAATTGTGATCGTATCCCCCATCAGTGTCCGCCCACTATATAGCCGCTGTCTGTGCGCTGCAAGGCGGGGCCACTGGCTGATGCCAGTCGCTTTATGGCCTTATCATGTCCGAGTTTTAGCCAAAATGCTCTAGCCACATCAGAAACTGACACCAATTCCAGGCTCCCAGTCTCACCAAACCTGCCTGGTCCATTGAAATTCCTTGAATGATCTTGAATGTGCTTCGCACGACAACGGCTTGCGCTTTTTCAACATCTCAGCTTCCAAGAGTGGCTCGAGACCGCAATTTTTTAACACCTCCAACTTTCAAGAATTCTACGAACCCAACGTGCTTCTAACATGTTGACTTGGAAATATGTTTCGCGCCACAACGGCGTGCGCCTCTTGAACATCTCAACTTCCAGTGGCTTGAACCTGCGATCTTTTAGCATTTTCATTTCCAAATCTGCTTCGCGCCATGACGGCGTGCAATTTTTCATCTCTCATACAACCAGATGATGGCTTCGCACCCGCCGCTTTAGCGAGCCTACTTTTCGACCCTCCGGTGCCACAAAACATTACAAAAAAAACGGTGTTTCGCGACTTTTCTACCTTTTCGTGCGCCTGCATCTTCTTTCTTCTGACTATTTCTCTTGTCTGACTCTTCCCACCTCTGCTTTTCCATCAAATTACCATCAACTTCCTTCGATGAATGGAACGTTTTCGATTGACATGTTTGTGTACCTGAGAATTAACAGTGGTAAATTGAGATTTTGATAGAAGAATGTACAAAACACATCACACGCCTATTTACATCAATTTTATATGTAATCGGAGCCATTTTGAGCCACTATACAAATGTAATTCACATGTAACAGGATCCAACATGGCCATGTGTCCGTCCGACTCGGCCACATCTGATGTACGTGTACCATTCAGTTTCCACAGAGTCAACCCTTGTATTATTTGTATCAAGCAGCCTCACACGGTGTAGTACAGCATCATTATAGCATCAAAGTCTGTTGAACCAAACGTTTGACAATTACAATAGGATGTGGCTAATTGTATCCCATCAAATCCCTCATGATGGTTGGTGCTCTAACTTGTATATTTACATAACCCCAAGTAAATCCCCAAATCACTTCCAAGCCATTCCACCACTCACTCTCTGCCACTGATCCCAAGGCCTGCCTCGTCCTCCAGCCCTTTCTCTGGTGTCCGGCCGTCTGTTTGCATCCTGGCATAAAATCGGATTCTCTTGATGCTGGCATGGGTATGGATCAAAATGGGGTAACCCCTATATAGAATATAGAATATCAACCCGTAGAGTATCCATGAATATCCTTCATTGTGAAATTCTGAAAGTCACTCATCGAGAGCAATATCCCGATTTTCTGGGGGCAGTTCCACCTACAT